GATTTTGGGGTCCCCGCCCCCCCCCCCCCCACCTGGACAGGTTTTGGGGTGTTTGGGATGAAGGATTGGGGTCAGGAGGGGCTGATTTGGGGATTTTGGGGTTTTTTTTATTTTGATTTTTGTGGTTTTTTGGTTCTTTTTTGGTTTTTGGGGGTCCCTGAGCTCCCCCTCCCCTCCCGGTTCACCCCAATGGGGACAACGGCGGGGGCGGGGTAGGGCGAATGCAAATGAGCGGGCGGGTAATTAACATAATATCACGGAGAGGCGGGGCTTGCGCGACAAGAGGCGGGGTTATGCAAATCAACAACGGATTGGAAACGAGGCGGGGCGAATGCAAATAAAGGGGCGCGTTCGGCCAATCACGTTGCGGGGCGGGGAAAAGCGGTGGGCGTGGCTATGAAAGAACACGGGATGGCTATTTTGCATGAGGGGGCGGGATTATGTACATTAACCGAGCTGAAATGCGCGACAGGCATGCTGGGATGATTTTTAAAGGGGGATTTCGGGGTTTTGGGGGTCGGATCGTGAGGGACCCGGGAGGAAAGTGCGGGATGAGATGGGGACAGAGGCCGGGAACGGGATGTGAAGGTTTCCGAGCGCGGCGCGGGGCTGTCCGTGAGGTGCGGGCCGGGCGGGCGGGGCCGGGCGCGGCGCGGGGCCCGGCTCGGGCATCGCTTCTCGGCCTTTTGGCTAAGATCAAGTGTAGTATCTGTTCTTATCAGTTTAATATCTGATACGTCCTCGATGAGAGGACTTCATATTAAACGGATTTTTGGGCTCGGGAGTTGGACCCGGAGCTTGCTCCCTCCGCTCCGCGCATCGTCCCGGTATTGCAGTGCCTCCGGGAACGGTGCACCCCAACGGGGACCTGAAACGGTGAAAAACAGATTGAATCGGGATAAACCGGGGTTCTATCGCGATATGGGCCCGGTATTGCAGCGCCTCCGGGAACGGTGCACCCCCACCGGGGAGTGAAATGGTGAAAAACAGATTGAATCGGGATAAACCGGGGTTCTATCGCGATATGGGCCCGGGATTGCAGTGCCTCCGGGAGCGGTGCACCCCACGGGGACCTAAAACAGTGAAAAACAGATCGGAATTCCCTGAAAATGAGTGAGATCATGATCGTATCGCGGTTTCAGTTCTGGCTCTGCCGGTTGCTGATCCTCCTGCCCTTCACTCATTCCGTGTCACGTTCCTCGGCCCGGTGTTGCAGCGCCTGCGGGATCGGTGCACCCCCACCGGGGACCTCAAATGGTGAAAAACAGATTGAAATTACCTGAAAATAGGTGAAATCGCGATTATGTCGTGATATCAGCTGTGGCTGTGCGGATTTTCAATGTTTTTCACCAATACAGGTGCCCGCGGATGCACCGTTCCTGAGGCACGGCAGCACCGGCCCGAGGAACGTGACACAGAGTGAGAGAAGTGCAGGGAGATCGGCAATCGGCAGAACTAAAGCTAAAATCGCGATGTGATCGCGATTTCAGAACGCTCCAGACAGCTTTTCAATCTGTTTTTCACTGTTTTAGGTCCCCGTGGGGATGCACCGATCCCGCAGGCACGGCAACACCGGGACGGGGAGGGCAGCACGGACTGAGCGAGCTGTAAGGAGTTGGTGATTGGCTGAATCCGGGCTGAAATCGCGATATAATCGTGACCTAACACGATTTCCAAATATTGTTTAATTCTGTTTTTCACCGTCAAGGGTCCCCCATAGGGGTGCACCGTTCCCGGAGGCACTGCAATCCCGGGCCCATATCGCGATATAACCCCGGTTTATCCCGATTCAATCTGTTTTTCACCGTTTCAGGTCCCCGCTGGGGGTGCACCGTTCCCGGAGGCACTGCAATATCGCGATAGAATCCCGGTTTATCCCGATTCAATCTGTTTTTCACCGTCTCAGGTCCCCGGTGGGGTGCACCGTTCCCGGAGGCACTGCAATGCCGGGCCCATATCGCGATAGAACCCCGATTTATCCCGATTCAATCTATTTTTCACCATCTCAGGTCCCCGTTGGGGGTGCACCGTTCCCGGAGGCACTGCAATACCGGGACGATGCGCGGAGCGGAGGGAGCAAGCTCCGGGTCCAACTCCCGAGCCCAAAAATCCGTTTAATATGAAGTCCTCTCATCGAGGACGTATCAGATATTAAACTGATAAGAACAGATACTACACTTGATCTTAGCCAAAAGGCCGAGAAGCGATGCCCGAGCCGGGCCCCGCGCCGCGCCCGGCCCCGCCCGCCCGGCCCGCACCTCACGGACAGCCCCGCGCCGCGC